ACTATACTATACTATACTATACTATACTATACTATATAATACTGTAATAGACTATTCTATAATATACCATAATATACTATACTAAGCTATACTATATTTTTCTATATTATTTATACTATTTTATACTATCTATATTATACAATACAAAGCTAAACTATACTATATTAACAATACTATAGTAAATTTACTATTCTATACTATAATATTTTATACTATACTATACAATAATAAAATATATTAACTTTACTATTGTATACTATACTCTTTTATTCTATAGTATAGTATATTATACTATATTATACTATATTATACTACGCTATACTAACTATATTATCTTTACTATTCTATACTATACTATTTTATATTATACTATACTAAACTACTATTGTATACTATTCTATACTATACTGTACTAAGATATACTGTACTATACTATACTATACTATACAAAACAAAGCTATACTATACTATAATACATTAATTTTACTATTCTATACTATGCTATTTATGTTATGCTATACTATAATATATTAAATTTACTGTTCTATACTTCACTATTTTATACTATACTACACTATTTTATACTATAATGTACTATACTATAATGTACTATACTATACTATACTATATTATACTATACTATACTATACTATACTATACTATACTATACTATACTATACTATACTATACTATACTATACTATACTAAACTATATTATGCTATGCTATGCTATGCTATGCTACACTGTACTGTACTGTACTGTACTGTACTGTACTGTACTGTACTATACTATACTATACTACACTACACTACACTACACTACACTACACTACACTACGCTATGCTACGCTACGCTACGCTACACTATACTATACTATACTATACTATACTATACTATACTATACTATACTATACTATACTATACTATATTTTTGTTGTTTATAAAGGTGTCCTTTTGAACATGCCACCATTTTAAGAAATGTCCTCATTCGCACAGAAACATTGAAAATGACCCAAAACGATGTAATCACGATGTCAGGCCTGTTTGTGTTGCTATAACAACATCCACATGTTGTGTGAAATGTAAACACAACAAGTAGAAAATTATGCCCTCAAGTCATAAGTTGATTAAAGATAGTATGAAGGTTTATAAAATATATTTTTTGCAGAAATTAATGGAAATCTTTTTAGTTGTTTAATAAACATAAAACATCAATGCAGTTGTTTAATTTTTAATTATCATTAAACTCACATTCTTACAGTGCGATCTTACAAAATGTGACACCTTGATTTGTTAAAGAACATATTCCAAGAAATTAATTTCCCTTTTCATAAATCAAACATCTGTTCCAGGCTTGGATCAGGTTTCAGATCTCGTTCAACATGTCAGGGACGAAGTGTCGCCACAAACAGAAGCAGAAGTGGATTTTACTTTCTTCTTATCAATTCACATCTTAGTTGTGCTTCTGTCAAAAGTTAGTGGAAATAAATATATGGATATTTTTATTGAGAGCACTGAGTAAAAAACAAATCTCCGATTTTTCATTGTGCCTTTTCAGCACCATGCAGATGTTCCTCTTACCACCACTTCCAAACTTTTATTTTCATTCACTGTAAATTTCTGGTGTGGAAAAAAAAAGGCGAAACAGTCTGTGTCCATTTATTTTTCTTCAGCTGCCTGTTTCAGCTGGCTCTCCGGGTATGTTGGGACATTCCTGCCACGTCAATGGGCCCCCAGGCATTGATATGCTCGGCCAGGTCCCCGAGGAACCTCGGCGATTATCGACGGAAGCCAGTGGAGCATATATTTCAGGGCAAAGATAAAGAAAACTGGAAGTACCGTTAAAGATGGAAGGAGATAAGAGATAGCACAGATTTGGAGCATTCAGGAGCTGTGGAGTGGAAAATGACAGATGTGGGCTAAGAAAAAAACGAGCTGCTGTAGTGGCTACACTCTCTGATGTCATGAAGAAGGTCAAAGGTCATTTTGAAGAGTTGTATTTTGATCATATCTATTAGAAACAGGTTGTTTCCTCAACAACAGCCTCTGCTATAAAACAGACAATCCATTAAACACACACACCTAGCGCCACACACTTGTCACACTTGCGGTGCTAATGAGGTTGAGCCCCCTGCACACTGCTCGGAGGCCCCGTGGCCCTCCTGGGCCCCCTCAGAGGTTAGTGTGTAATTACTCCATCTTCATAAATACAGATTCATCATTTCACACTCCGAGCCCCTGACGGGCTGAGAGGGAAGAGGAAGGGGAGGGACAAGGGATGGTATGTGTGTGTGTGTAAAGAGTGTTTTTTTTTTTTTGTGTGGGGGGGGGGGGGGGGGGGGGGGGGGGGGTGTCTAATGATTTAATTACAGTGCTAATAAAAAGCCCACTCTGGCTAAGTGATGGTCCTCTCTACCTCCTCCTCTCAGTGCTGGCACCTAGAGGCTTTCACTCATGAATCTCAAAGCTGTTTTCTTAAACACATATTATGATGAGCGCCACCGTTGTCGCCCCTCTGTGTGTGTGTGTGTGTGTGTGGGTGTGTGCGTGTGTGTGTGAGAAAGAGAGAGAGCGAGAGAGAGAGAGACAGAGAGGATGCTTAATCTCCATGGCATTTTAAATGGCATTCATGGAGGGCGGCTCTATCCTCACTGCCAAGGTAAATGGAGCCAGGGGACTCTCCATTTCAGCTCGATAAAAGAGCAATGTTAAAGAGCCTCACCGGTGTCCCCCCCACCACCACCCCACCACACACACCCTCCTCCACACACACTTCTCACTCTGCCTCCCTCTCGTTTCTCACTTAAAATTAATGTTTTTCTCATGACAGGGGAGGGAAACGAGACATATCCAGCACCTAATAGGATAATATAGCCCCCATTCACCACCGTCGCCACCACCCACCCCTCCCTCCTCCCTCCCTCCCTGCCTTTGTAGCTGCCTGATTTCCATAGTGTCTCTGTGGAGAGGCAGTTAATGAATTCCTCTGAGCTGGAGAAAGACGGGGGGAGAGAAGGGTTTGGCGGTTTAGAGAGAGAAGGGGGAGAAAGAGGCAGGGATAGGGGGAGGAAGGCTTTGAGCTATGCCATTCAACTTCACAGCCTCAGCCTGTTTGTGCATTCACTGTGTGTTTGTGTGTGCAGTGCGTGTGTATGTGTCTTTTAACATGAACCTGCTAAGACTACCAAATATTTAGACTGGCCTCAGACCTCCTCTCTCTTTTTTAACCAGCGATGGTGGATTGAGGGATCTCAGGAGGCAGCTTGACTCTTTTTGAATCCCATTCCGTGCTATTATCTCGGCCCCAGACAAAGGAATAACTTACTGCAGGAAACCTTCAAAGAAACCCCCTCCATCCATTAACACTGCCCACTTCCTCCTGAGTAATTTGCAGTGATGTAAATGAAGACACCCTCTAAAAAAAAAAACATTTTTCTTTTCAACATTTGTGGCAACAAAGATGCGATAAT